GGCGCGCGGCGGAGCGCCAGGCGCAGCTGTTGCTGGCGCAGCTGCGCGCGCGCGGCGGCGTGCGCTTCACGGCCGGGGGCGTCTTCCCCGTCGACCTGCGCTTCCTCGTCGGCGTGCTGGGCACCGTCGTCGGCTACCTCGCCATCTTCGTGCAGTTCGCACTGCAGGCGCAGCAGGCCGGGGAGACGAAGCTCACGGTCCTTTTCGCAAACGACTCCGACTTCTCCAAGTGGAGCGGCAGATGCGTCAATTTGACCAGCGACGTCTGTGTAATTGTGCAGAGAGGCTGAGGGAGGATGACTTTCAATACTGATATCTGTGTAGTGGTTAGTAGAAACCGAACGAGGTAATAATAAAGTAGTCTCAAAATTCATTGTCAGCTTATGCATTACAGAAACATTGTTTTATAAATAAAATGTAACTGGAATGTAACACTGCTTTATAACTAAACTGGTGCGAAATGGACATTATACATACAACGTATGCAATTTTTTATTGATATGTTACCCATTTAATAATATAGGAAGAGTTTCCATTCATAGAAACAAACAAAAAATAGCAATGTAACGTTTCACTCAATACTTTTCATCTTGTTATCTTTAACCACGGTATTTGACTACCGGGCCGTCTTCGTGCACTTCACGCTGCAGGCGCAGGCCGAGGAGATGAAGCTCACAGTTGTTTTCGCAAACGAATCGGACATTCCAAGTGGAGCGGCAGATGTGTCAATTTGACCAACAACGTCCGTGTAATTGTGCAGAGGCTGAGGGAGGATGACTTTCAATACTGATACCTATTGGTAGAGATTGTGGTTAGTAAAGACCGGATGGCGTAAAAATAAGTTAGTCTATAAAGTGTTCTGAGCTCATGTATTACAGAATCATTTGGGATGTACTGCTATTTTGTAAATAAAATGGAGCAAAATCGATATTCTATAAAGAAAGTATGCAATATTTTATTATTATGTTACTCATTGAAATGTACGGGGAGAGAGGGACGAGTACTAACAAACAAACAAACAATAGGGATGCTACGTTTTACTCAATAATTTTCATTTTATTGCCTGTATTCTTCCCAAGGATGCTGGCCGTCTTCATGCAGGTCGCGCTGCAGGCGCAGGCAGAGGAGATGAAACTCACGGTCGTTGTTCGTAGAAGCCACGCTTATTTTTAATATGTTTAGCTCCCTTCACATTGTATATTCAACACATCCTGTGTTCATGTTACGACGTTTGTACGCCTGACCTTTTCAATTAAATCAAATGCATATATTAAATTTGTAATACGTTACTCTAAAACATATACGATTTCTATTGGTCGGCTCGAGTATTCTGCACAAACCGCCTAAAGCCTACGCCACCTCACCGCCAGTAAGTGCGGGCTAACCCTCCGGTTGCGAGTCGGCAATCAGTCAAGCCTCAAGTTTGTAGATGTGCCCCCACTCGTGTCACTCAGACCACGGCGTCATGGTTTCTTGAAGTAACGTTACAAGTAGTAACTTATAATTACTTCAATCCATTAGTTATTGTTCGGTTTTTATACTGTCATACAGCGTGCTCGTCATTGTACGACTCACATTACATGTATATTTTTAAGAGTAACGTATTACAAAGATAATACATGCATCTGATTTAAATTAAATGGTAAGGCGTACAAACCTCGTTTCACGAACACAGAATGTGTTGAATATACAATGCGTAGGGGGCTAAACATATTAAAAATAAACGTGGCTTCTACGAACATCAACCGTGCTCTGTGATAATTCACAAGTTTATTTCAATGTGGTGACATCTAACTGCAGTCACGTGTTTAGTTCAATAACTATGTACACTATGTAACAAACTGTATTCTACAACATGTGTATTGTTTCGAAGTGTGCAATACTTGAATTGACTGCAACTGCCTACTGTTATGACTCCGAGACGTAGGCGCTGACTCATTACGGTGTCTCTATTGTAACATGTGTTGCGTCATCACTTCCGTCAACGACATCATAAAGTGATAAGGGTGCTGTGAAATTGTCCTGATTCACATTCGCACGAACTGCCTGAGCCTAAAAATTGCAATTTTTTCTCGCAAAAATACTTAGGCATGAAATTCTGATATTTAAACGTACAAGGATGCCTCCATCCTGGTACGTTCAATCTTCATTAAAATCCTGGTAAAATGCTCATCACATTGCGTCCGAGGAGGCCGGGGTTCGATTCCCGTCGAATCCCGGACACTCTCATGTAAAATTTGTTCCAACAAAACGTGTTTGGATGCATCATCAAGGCTAGTCCAACCCCTGTGAAGTGCCCTAAACCCTATCCCTACCCTAATTCCTTCCCATTTCTGACCGCTGGGTAGTGCCGCAGGAGCGCGTAGTAGGAGGCGCGTACGCGGAGATGCTACTTGGCGGTCCTCTTGACAAACGACCTGACAAACGACTTGTACAGGTAATGAAGGATTACTCCTAAGCGCTCTAATTAACGGAGGATTACTCCTAAGCGCTCTAATTAACGGAGGATTACTCCTAAGCGCTCTAATTAACGGAGGATTACTTCCAAGCGCTTAACAACCCCCAAGGAGCGTGGAGACCTGTTGCGTCAATACCAGGCAAAAAAAAAAAAAAAAAAAAAAAAAAAAAAAAAAAAAAAAAAAAAACAGGATCCTGCTCCACATGACAACACTAGTGCAGGCGTGGGCGTGCGCATGCGTACTTGGTCTTGTCGACGTGCGGCGCGTAGATGTTGGGCGCGGCCTCCTGCAGCGCCAGCAGCGGAGGGTTGCAGTGGCGCAGCATGGGGTCGCTGCGCTTCATGGCGCGGTCCACGGCGCGCGACAGGATGCGAGGGTCCACCTACCCACGCATTTCAATTCAAAAAAGTGAAATCTCTTGTTCTTCAAGATGTTAAGGAAAAAAAACGTTGGTCCTTACCGGTCTAATTTTTTAATAAAATAAGTTTAAATTAGTGCAGACTCTAATGGAAAACTTTTTGCGAGCACATGTTTTTTTTTTTAAGTTATTGAATAAGTTATACGGTGAAATACCTTTTTCTTTTATTCAATACATAGTCTCATTTTTGAAGAATCGGATGATATTAAATGTAACATACCTCGCCAGACATTCTGAGAAATAATTGATAAAAACTTGCGAAGCAACCGAAAGAACTGGGTCTGGGCTTGAGAGTTATGGGTAAAAATCATGCTTTTCAACATTGTTTCTCTTCGGGTACGAGAGAAAACTGCCCCAATAATTGTAAAGCTCGCTTTAGTATATTAATTGGGCTTGTATGCTCACGTTGGGCACGCTTGCTCGCAGGTAGTCATGGCGCGGCCCGTTGAGGTAGGGCGTGGGGTCGTACACGCTCGGCCGGTCGTCCACCGGGTACGGGAAAATCTGCGCCTCCAGCTGCATCGCGCGCGACGTCGCCATCTTGCCGAGTCACGGGGCGCACCTGTGGGTTGCACGCCAGTCCATCGGCACTCCACATGATCGAGGCCGGCGCGAGGAAGGGCGACGCCAAAGGGTGGCAAGAGGGCCGGGTTGAATATTAACTCTTTAACGCGGAATGCCACGTTGAAATGGCAAGTTCGTTTCTCCATTCGTGAGAATCCGCATCTAGACGTAAAGGGATTTTCCTCATCACGGCGGGGTACCATACAGAGACGGAAAGTCGCCTTATGGGCAGTAAACTGGCTGTCTGAAATCGAACAAATTCCTTTGTCTTTCACCTGCTTTGGAATGCTACCGTACTCAAAGTAGGTTCCGGTTTGAATACAAGGGTTCCGGGTTGATACTCAAGTAGGCTTACTATATGCTTACGCCCCGCAAAGTTGTTAGTCCTTAATATTGTAAGTTTATTATTATTGTAACCTATTAGTTTCAATGGAACCGTCGTGTGATCGTGTCGATCCCTTCATTTGCAGAATTATTCCGACATCAAAGATCTAGCCATCGACGGAGCCACTTCTTGGGAATACAAATTGAACGACAAACAGATGGAACATTTGTAATTAACCAAAATGAACAAACATTGTAAAACTGTTAGAGGATATTGGGTCATCAGAAACAAGACCAACATTCATTTTAATGTTACGTTTCTTACAGATCGTGTAATGCTAGCACGAACTCTCATTTCGCTGCATGCGGGAGGAATGGTGGGATAGGTCGCTTTGACAGCAGTACAATAAAATCAGTCTGAAGCTCATTTCTGATGAAGGACTCACGGGAGAAAAATTGGCACCAACGCATATAATACTTTATTTATAATTACGCTATGTATGATAAAGGAGAGAGGATTGGGTTTCCAGAGATCGAGGAAACGCGTGCGTATAATATTAAGGGGCTGTTTTACGAGTACTCGTACAATAAGCTGCAGTGAATGCAAATCCCTTTGTATTCACATTAAACGAAACCTGAATTTAAGTACTATTGGTTTAAAATAAATGTTTGACATAAACTAGTAAATTCATTTATATTATAAAAATCATAATATTAAAATTATATCTTAACATTCTTAATATTCAAGTAATGAAGAGTTCAAAACATATTTTGCCTACGACACGTTGCAGGTGAATTTCACAATTTCTATTCGATCGATAATCTCCAATTATTTTCCAGAATATTGAAACTGAGTATCTTCTAAAAAACACTTTCTTATAAATACAAACACCTACCTTCTTACTTCGCGAGTTCAAAAATATCTTCTAGTGACAGTCGAAATTGATGCGAGCTTTTTAACGCCGTCTCTGGCCTCAGAGTTGTCAATGATGACTAGACAAATGAACAAAGAGGTAGCAAACTCGATGTAAATATACATCATGAAATGACATGCGGTAAGCGTCGTCAAGAAACCAATACCACATTTTTCGAATTATCGTCTAAATATGCCAGTTTGAAAAATTGTTTTCATGTGCTTTAAACGGCTCACAGACTTGGGTAACTAGGACCGAACGTAAAATTTGTTCTAGTTCATGATCGGTCTGGGAATTAATCTAATTTGTGATTAAAACGGAGATCTAAAAGTCTCAACAAACAGTAATAATTTGAAGTTACTTCAAAACCTTGCTTAAAGATGTAGTTTCAAAGAACAGGTACTATTTCAAAAAATCTCCACCATCAATACTGTATTTTCGAGATACTATTTTTTGTTGTTGCAATTTTCGATAAAGAGTGTTCGTTACTTACTTCAACACCTTTTGCTACATCTGAGGGGGGAAATAGAGAAAAACTTTGGAGATGTTTTTGAGAAAATATTTTTTTTAACAATTGCCTATATTTCACTCATAATAACGAGAAAACTACTCATATATTTCAAACATTTTATATGATCATATTTCAAGATCTGTCTTTTTGAAGATCAAATTTCATCGAAGAAAAAAATATTTATTGTCGGTAATGTAATTGTAGGAAGATACTAAGCAACTTTTGTACTTTTGCAAACTTTCGATAAACGAAGAATTTCAACGAAAATTTGACGTGCACCATTCTTCAAGAAGTTCTTTAAGTAATGCGAAAGAAAAGTTTAATCAAAACACTTGAAGAAATTTTTGACAAAATTTTGAAAATGTATATGAATTTTGAAAAGTTTTATGAACGGTACACCCTCATGTAAAATCAAAATATCCGTTTCAAACTCGCGGGTCCTCGCGATCATTCAGATTGATCTGGTAACATCACTTTTTTTAGATAATCATCTGAACGGTTTAGGCCAGGCTGTTCCAACTCAGCTGCCCGCGGGCGGGCACGCGGGCGCCCGCGAACCACCGCGCGACACCGCGGGCACTGGCAGGCACAGGCTGTTGTCAACATTCGCTGCCGGCGCCTGGCGAAATAAAAGCCCTCGGGGCACGAGTTGACCTTGGCCTTTGGCGACAGTTCGCCGCTGTTGGCCGAAGCAGGGTGCGGTTAGGTTGGGGAGTGGAGGGCTCTCTCATAATCGGAAAGAAACCTAGAAGTCCAACAGGAAACACAAAATTCAATTCAGTTGAACATTATTATTATATTTTATTAAATTTAGACATTTTTTTTAACAAGTGAAGCAATATTTGGTGGCATTCCTTGGGATGTTGCGATAGAACGCTCTTCAACGTCTTGTCCTGAAGTTGGGTTATTTCTTAGTGTTTTTTTTTTTATTCTGTTCATTGCAGGGAAAATATGTACACAGAAATATTTTGACACACACACACACACACACACACACACACACACACACACACACACACACACACACACACACACATATATATATATATATATATATATATATATATATATATATATATATATATGCATACATATATCTTCGCTGCATTTTATGAAGCTTGGGGAAGTCTTCCACTTGTAGATTCTGCTGCTATAGTGATAAATTGAGGGTATTAAAATATATGTCCTTTAGAAGTAGAGTGTTCTGCAAATCTATTATGTCCAACTGCATTGGCGATGGCATGGATCCGGTGCGACAGAAAAAGGGGTTGTGACTTCCTCTGCCAGCCATCGCACTCCTCATATTGCTTCCAGGAAAAGCAAAGCGAAAGTGAGAAGAACGCTTCTCCCTCCTGGGTTAGCCACGATTACACGCCCGCGGGAGCCCGCCCCGCGAGAGGCTAAGTTGGAACAGTCTGGTTTAGGCGCCAGTGTTGATCGAACACAAACGTTTTGCTGTTAATTTTCTGGTATCAAGGACCCACAAAACGTGGATTCTAACTTCACAATATGTTAATGTAATTTATGACAAATATGAACAAGATTTATTAATTTTTTCGATTCCAAGGTCCTCACAATATTTTTCTGTTGAATAATCGCCGTCTTTTCTGTGTTTAAAGCGGCGGCGGCGTAATAAGTTTCTTCTCTTTTGATTGCGAATCGCCTGTGCTTAATTCCACAAGCCGGCGCTGCAGGAAGGCGAAATGCTTGATAGTATGTAAGCAAGCCTGTTTGTATTAGAATATCATTCGCGACAGACAGGCATTAATTCCACAAAGCAGAAATGTCCCAGCTTTTCACTTTTCGCCTTGCAGACCCCAAGGTCAGCCGCGCCGCTTGGATGTGGTGGCGAGCAGTGCCCGCTGCCGCCTCGGTCTGGCGCGCGAAGGCGCTCAAATTCTGCCCACTTCGGATGTTCAGGATTTATTTATACTGTTGTGAAATTAGTCCTACATTCAGACCCTTGAAATAATATAACCATAATAATTGTTTAAATATTAACACTTATAATTTCTAAAGTCAACTTTCGGGAACACTTTTCCCACCTTCAGTGGGTTTATAACAAATACAAAAGGAGAAATATAAATACAATATTACGAACTGCAAGTACAGAAAGAAATATAATGGTATGAAAACACAAAACTCCTGGAGTGGTTCATAGACAGCGTTTGTAGCTTTCTGTAAGGCCTGTTTCGATTCCTGGCCGGGGCAAAAATGAAGCTGTAGTTTTTACACCGACACAACTCGTCTCAGTTTATATACCTGTGTGAAGAAAGCGAGCTCAGACATGCCAAATAATCTAGGTTCGATGATGGGAGTGCGTAATGGTCACATGTCTCCCTTACCCCCAGGTGTAGAAAATAAACAAAAACAGTGCTCAGGTCTGGGATCACCGCCAGCTGGCAAAAGCTGGATTAATACGGCCAAAAATGCCAAATGTACAATAAGAAAACGCAAGGAAATCAAGAAACTCACCACCCAAACAACATGGGAATTAAATGTGCAAATAACAATAAAAAATAAATATTGTGGTTCGATTATTTCCATATTCTCTACTCACCACCCAAGCAATATGGGAATTAAATGTACAAATAAAAATAGTAAAGAAATATTGCGATTCAATTATTTCCATATTCTCATCCATCATGAAGTATCCCATGTTTTCTTCTAGAGCCAATGAACTTATTCAAGACTAATTACTTCATTCGGCGAGTTAAGAAATAGTTATTTTATGAAAAATACATTGCGTAAGAAACAATACATTTGCTGTCGATATTTTCACACTCATTACCTTTTAGGTCAGTGGCAATGATTCAGATGCCAGCTGTGATATTGAATGACCAGGGTACTAGTTTTGTATTGCAATAAAAATATTTAGGCTGAAATATAGAAGATGGAACAACTAAAGAAGTAGTTCGGCACTTCGCGCAGCTCAGGCCAGGGAGAAATCCATGGTGGAGGGGGTGAGGGATAGTTAATGGATTTTGGGGGGAATCATTCGGTAGCCAAGGGTAGCAAGCAATATACTAAATAACATAGCACATAATTTGATAGTAATAAAGACTTGGAAGATTTGGTCGATCTAACCAAAGTATAATAAAAATTAAACCACTCGTGTTGGAATTTTTAAAAAATGCATGAGTTGCGAAATAGTCTACGCAAATTACGTTCTTAAGGTTAAAAGTCGCATACTTTGCTTCAGAGAGGGGTAAGGCAAGGTCGTATGCAGGGAACCTACAGTCGCCCTACAGTTCATCCCCTAGGCTAGGGTAGCCAGCGATCGGTTCTAACAGGTGCTGGTATTTTTACCAACTCGAAGTCTCAGTTTTCTTGTGTTTCTATTTGATGATCAACTATTGACAGCATGTTAAGAAATGTCGAAGATAGTGAAAAAGTTTAACAGGAATTGGTGCTGCAATCCATTCCAACTTGAAACCACCAGTCGGATGGGTAAGAAAAAAAAATGCGGAAGAAAACACCTAATTTAGTGAAGAAATATCAAATATGCAATGAGTTTTCTCAAAATGTCAGAAATACCTTACACGGATCTTAATGAAACAGACACTGAAGTGAGGAAGTCAAGCGGAAAGTAGTACGTAGTTGCTCCTAGAATTGCAGAGGAAGCCTCAGCGAGTAAAATGATATTTTAATTCGGTCATTCACCATGATCGTGGCTTACGCAAACCAAGGAACTTTCTTCACTACTCCTAGGAAACTTTGTCTGCAAAGAGGAACATGAAGCATCCACCGGTCTGAACATTGTGCCAGGAACACGACGTATCCATGCTGTGAATCCAGTTTCTGGAGAAAAAAAAATGCTGTAAGAATGTGCTCTACTTCACGCAAAGTCACTCAAAATGTACTTTGGTGAAATCCATCACCGCGCCTTGAAGAAAGAACACAAAGCAAAGACGTGACTTCAGTAGCGGCAACGGCGGCGATGGTGGTAGAGGCCATTTCGTTCGGTGCGCCGGTAAGTTATTTTTATTTATAACTTGTAATAGATTCAATATTCCATGATCAAATTTTTGGATTAGTAAGAAAGTGGTTGCCCATATTTTCTTAAAAACTTCTTAAACTTAATATTACATTTTCATATTTCATTTTTTTTTAAATTGTTCTTTTTGTTAGACGCCATAAAAATATATTTTGTGTAAAATTATCCTGCGTATCTCGTTTCTTTAAAGTAACATTTATATCTTTGTGTGTGTTTATCATCTGAACAAGAATCTAGCAAAGGTGTCCACTTTGTTATCTACTATAACATGTGTATTATTGCCAAACCACAGACGATGAAACAATATTGGTCTTGTAAATTACCTGCATTTTACAAATAACACAGTTGTGTCAAAAATATTTTTTAGTTGAGAGATGCGGTGTCAGACCACTTTTCCATATCATTACCATATATTAATATTATCATCATTTTCCACACACTTGCAATAAGTTGCAACTAGTTTGTTAGTAATGAATGGAAACTAGCTGAATCAACAAATACAAATTATAAATTCTGTTATATTATTATTGTGCTTCCCCTTTGTACAATCCATTTTCCATAACATAATAACCAATGTTAATCTGAAAAAAACTTCTTGATAACTGAATAAAAAGTGGAAAAAGGAAATAGAAAAGTAAAACCTTGGATGAGTAATATATACAATATAAGCACTATATTGTAATAAAATGACAAACTTTTGTGTAATAATGACTGAATATTTTTGGGTGATTATCTTATAACAAAAGCAAGTATTTAAAAAACCTTTTTAAAATTACATATGAATCTTCATTATGAACATACCTTAGTGTTTTTCTATTATTTTCTATTTATTGAACAATGTTTTAGTACTTCATATATTTAGAAATATAATTTTCAATTGTATGCTCTTGTTTTTCTATTCAAATTTTACAAATCCAACCAAAGAACAGTCTTATTTAACAATGTTTTATTTGAAACTAAATATAAATAATACAAATAGATAATAGAATAGAGTATCATCAACATATTTTTATGAACTTGACAACATCATACTATAACAACATAACTACATTCTAATCATTAAATTCTCAGCTAAATAAAATCTCTCATCAATGTACAAATTTTCAGTTTTGTTGAGAATTAATACCATATTACTTAATTTAATAACTACTACCTAAAACTACTTCATATGAAAGATGCTGTAATAACTTTCTTCAATACATTAATTTGTTATCAATTTCTTTGGTTTTACAAAAATACAGAAGTATTAAAATTAATGAGTAGGTACTTTAATGTCGGGGAGATTCTAGATGGGTATACAAATACTGTCCATCAAGAGCAATGTAAATATAATATCATACTGGGTTTATTAACAAAACTTAACATTCAAAGGGCAATTTATTTACACTACCTAATTATACTGAATAAAAAAGATGACGCATTCTAATAAATTCATCTCTTGCCAGTCTTGATATTCTACCCTGAGCTGAACATCTGTTACGCACAAATGAAAGTACGATCTCAACATTATTCACTTATCTAACAGCATGATAATTTCTTCTAATTGTGCTAACTTTGTAATCCACATTCTTTATTCCAGTCTGTGTCTGTAGGAAGGTTATGCTGAATCAGATTAACAAATGCGCCAATGACACATGGTTGACTACAACCAGGAATCTTAAGATTTATAGGCTCAGCAGACGAACTATTCAAATACAGGACCTAAAAACAATTATTAATTGCATGAACATGAACTTTACATGATGGTTTATTTACAAATTGTTTTCTTAATATTTGTGTTATAATATACATAATATTTGGAATACTAACCTTAACTTCTGCATTGACACCTTGTTCAATCCAACGAAGTTCAAAAATTAGAGATGCTCCATAGCCTACATGTAACAGTTCTGTGAAACCTAAAGTTCTCCAAACATTTACAATGGTCAAATCATGAGCAGAAAAGAGGTGCATTCTTCCTTCATTTTTTACTGTGTCCTCAGCTTTTTTTGACATAAGATCAACAACCTCTTTCAGTAAAGGACCTGTAACAACCAATATTTAACAAGTTTAGTTCTTTTGATACAAGTTTATTTGCATAAGTATATAGGCTACAGAATGTAGAATTTAAAAATACCTCCTCTAATTCGTTTCATGAAATCATTGTGAGTAAATATTGCCAAACTCTTTGCAGCTAATTGTTTCATTTTATCAGGAAATACCGAATTCGTCCACTCTGGAAGGTCCAACTTATGTATTTTCTGCAACAAGGTAACAAATTATCTAAATAAATAACTTTTATTGTAAGACAAGTTTCTATGATGAGAACATGCACATATAGTATCAGATCGGTGGGTTGTAGAATTTACTACTTGCAATAGTAGGATCTGTAACGCATTTGATAACGTGAATGAGAATTGAAAGAGTAAGAGTCAGGGAGACAATACAGAATTAATGGAAGTACAATATAGATGTTATTTCCTTTTAAATTGTTTCCAAGGGATTTACTTAAATACACATCAGTAATGTAGATTTTTAATTATGTTTCATTAATTATAATTTATAAATTCTAGGTCTTGTATATTATCACCTGTTTACCTGGTTTGAGGCTTCATGCCACTTGGTCGTTATAAGTTAATGAATGATAATATGGATGAAAGTTCACGGTATTTGGAGGTTTGCCCATAATCAGAATTGGAAAAACCCCATGCCTTATTTACTTTTATGCTCTGTAAGGTCAATATGTTTTTTATTCTTTCTATTGAAAAATTTGGAAAATTAATATTAATAAAATATGAAAGAATGAAAATGTCAAAGGATATCAAATGTATACGTAAGCTTCCGCGGCTCCAATCCATAAATTCTCGGCTATCCGGTCGTTTGCTGGGGTGCCCCGCATTTTCCCCCGAAATTTCACGCATGCTGTTCTTAGAATTTGCAAACATTTTAGCCTAAAAATATGCTCTCTTTTACCCGGGCCCGCCCGCTCTGCGGGCCCAAAGTTTCGCGCCCTGATAAGTGGGGCAGAATACGATTAAGATGAGGGCACGTGATCTGCACTAAGGGTGGAAACGAGATAGGGAAGCAAGAATCACACGCAATTCGTGGCCCGAATTCTAGTGTGCTGGTCTGGCATTCGCTGGAAAGCGATCAGGGAAACAAAGGAAAACCCTTGCTCAGAGAAGTTGACTTCAATGGCGGTAGGTGATTCTCTGTCGCAAATGTTTAACAGGCAGATTTCCGGCACTTGGCGGGGTTCGAAGATCGATCATCGAACCCGGGACCTTCCATCACTGATACGCTTGAGGCGGTTGCTCTAACACTTGCCGCTTCACATGTTGGTAATATTCTTATATAGAAGTGATTAACAGTTAATGAAATAATTACAATTATGAAATAATCAAGAGAAAAAAAATGTAGTCTAGACTATTTACAAAGAAGACTAAGCTCTTGCTTAGGCGTTACTCCAGGTTTAAGATCAAAATGGACATTGAAAGTACAGTTGCTTGAATATATTTTGATCATTCACACTTTCTTACCTCTATCAAAAGGGTGTTGTATAAGAACTCAACAGCAGTAATATCAGAAATTGGTTTCCCAGCATGAGTTGTCAAGTACTGATACAGATCTTTGTTTTCTTCATTCAATGCTTGAATTTCTGGAGAAGCATATGCTTTCTGTAATTCTTCATCGTAACGGGGACATGGCTTCTTAGCTGCTAGTTTCTATGAGAGGAAAATGTAATAAATTAGTACTTTTTTACAACTTTTTTTACATACAGTACAGAAAAAAAATCTTTCAAAATTAAATAGTTAATTGAATATCTACTAAAAATTAAGTTTTCTTTCTGTTAATTTTTGTTTACCAAATAGGGTTATGAATCATTGATAACTTGCAATTCTAAATAAAATGAGCAGAAAGTATTTTCACTAAGTATTTTAAATTTAAATTAGTATTCAGATATATGTTTCATCACATTATTTTTAAGCTTTACTATGGTGTCTCTTGTACGTATTTTCGTGTTATAAAAATGTCTACAAAATATTGTTGACTGGCTCGCCTATCCTCAAGTATAAAACGAAATATATTTGAAAAGGTGTAGAAAGTAACGTGAAAAGTATAGATTCACTTCTTTTAAATTTGTATGTCTATTTCAAAATTAGGCAGGCGAGTAGGTATAGAGAAGAAATATTAGACCACAAGGAAGGTTGGGAGAAGAGAGGAGAGGAGACGAAAAGCATGGATAGGGGAGGGGAAGGGAGTGAAGGAGGAGATGAAAGTAAATGGATGGATAGAGCAGGTGTAGAGGCGATAAAAGGGATGAAGATACGGGATGGGAGAAGAAGAGGGGACGAATGGGAAGAATATGAGGGGAGAGGAGACGATTGGAATGGGCAGGAGAGGGAGAAGGAGACTTAGGGTATGGGAGAGGATATTATATGAATTAAGGAGACAAGACAAGAGAAGATGGGACAAAAAGGAAGGGGTGCGATGACAAACGGAAAGGAGAAATTAGGAGAAGAGAGGAGGCGAAAGGAGAGAGAGAGAGAGAGAGAGAGAGAGAGAGAGAGAGAGAGAGAGAGAGAGAGAGAAGAGGAAGGCCATAGGAAGAGGCGGGGTAGGAAACGAAAGGGTTTACGAGGAGAGGGGTGGCGAGAAAAAGAGATAAAAAGGAGAGAGGATGGGAGGAGATGGAATGAATGGAGAGGAAATGGGACGAAAGGAATGGGTAAGAAAGGAGGGACAGGGGAGAGGAATGTAAAGGGATGGCATGGGGAGGTGTAAAAGTGACAAAAGGGATAAGAAGAGAGGAGGGGAGGAGAGGTGACGAAAACCACGTTTAGCGGAGGGGGAGGAAACTAATGGGAGGGATAGGAGTGGGGTGAGGAGGCGAAAGGGATGAAGAGAGACGACGGGAGGGAGAGGAGGCGACGCACCGTGTCCCTTTCGCGCGCCACGTAGTGCACGGGGATGGGCTGCCAGGCGAGGTCCGGGTGCCAGCGCTGCTCGCCCTCGGGGGGCATGAGGCCCGCCAGCAGCGCGCCGGCGCTCATCAGGCAGCGGTCGGCCGCGCTGCTGTCCACGCGCAGCGCCTGCGGCTTGTACTGCGCGCCCACGAAGCGGCCGTAGCGCCGGCGCAGGCGCTCGCCCAGCGCGAACATCTGCGCCTTCCCCTCCTGCAAGAGCACAACCGAGACGCGTTAAAACGACACAAGTTATAGCCATTAACGCCAATAGGCCGATACAGAGCGAATAACGGACGCGATTCAAGTTTGTAGGCCGAGGCAATAGCTGATATTAATTACCAGGTATTCTGATGCCCTAAAAATTCTTTGACAATGATCTATAAAATGACGGAGAAAAGTACGAGAGAACGGTTAACATTCTTTACGGTGTTCTATGTATGTGAATAGTTCATTCTACCAATTTCTCGCTTACGAGGGCAAGTGGGCAAGCCGGGCCCCGACAGCTAGTGTGGGTAAACAGTATTTATTTTCGATTAGGTCATGTTTTAGCGAATCGGCCCTCTCATCGATGCCACATTGATGACACTCCAGTGCTTCTAACCTGGAAGGTGACCTAGGGTTCGTGTTCCGAAGGTGTAATAATTTGCGACACTAGCTGGGGAGGTAGTTTTTGTTCAGCCGACGCCTTGAGGAGAATTCTAGTTGCACGCTTGTATGATCGGTAGTTTTCTTTGGCTTCTCCCATCAACACTAGGCAAATGTCAAATAAGCACCTTAACAAAGGCGGCGGAGATGGAGTAATAAGTAATTGGTATAATACTTAACGGTTGGCGTATCGGACAGTTATACTCAAGTTCGCGGGTTCAAACCTGATCGAAGCCGTGGATTTTTATGGGCGAAAAAAATCCTTGGTACGTTTTCCTTCGGAGGGGAAGTAAAGCCGGCTGTTCCATGTTAGTAGATTTACTGGATGTAAAAGATCCTCAAGCTTAATGAAGACTCCAAGCCAAAATCAAATCACCTATTTCGTCGCCCAAGAAATACTTCCTTTCTCCGCTAGTTGATGAAAGGAGCGTAGCGAAATTTGCGTGGTCAGACGGAAGAAAAGACCTCATGGCCTGACTCTCGCCACGTATAATAAGGCAATTCAATTCAACAAGCGGACCACGGACCGCACGTGATCTTTCTTTCCTCTTCCTTATCCTATCCTCACCCCTTACTTACATACACGTAGATGCACTACAATACCACGCATGACAGGAGAGCATTCGGAAGATAGAGATTCCACGGGCAGTGCCCCACAGGTGGGAGATCTCTGGATGGGAAAACCAACTACAAATACGACGTGTAGGTCGGCGTCGAATCACACCATACTCTGGGGAAGATCTCTGCCACATTCAGCGAAAAAAAACTCCATTATACGTACTTACGGGACTACCGATCTTAGTCAACGCACCAAGAAACTCTAGTCAATCAATTGACCGCATACCACTCCGTCACAAGTCTCCAGCACCACGGTTTCCTAAGATATCCTGCGCCGTCCCCTTTCTCATATTTTATACTAAAAAATAACCGCATTGTCCGAGATAGGGCAAGTAAGGTATTTCCGATATCGGTAGTATGACGTTTAATATTTTTCATTATATATAAGAAAATATATATAAAAAAAATACCTTTTCTTGGAAAAGGACCACCGATACTTCATCTTCTGCATCATTTCATTTGCCACTTTGACCTTTTAAATTCCATTATGGATGCACCACATTATGTCTTTTCCTTTCTGTGTTTGGAGTGTTAGGTTGAAGTTCTTTATTACGAAAAAGAAATAGTAGACAAAGTACGTCGATACGAATGCAACGTTAAACTTTGAAGAAATTTAATGCCTTCTGAGCAGAGCCCTTTCACTGATAATTGGATACGCTATACTTTTTTTCTCAAATACCCCGCACTTCTCCAAAATCCTCTAAGGAATGTCTTAGGTGTCACATTCCTGTCGAAATGAGAATCTATCTAACTCTGACGTGGAAGAAATTTGTGTTTATAGGAATGAATAAATGTGAATAACTATTCAGTTAATCTAAGTATACGGAGTCGGGGCAACCGCACGGCATAGAAGCACGTGAAAGGCTAAATACTGTTCCAAAATTATTATCAATATACAGGAAAAAATATTAGCTTTAGGTCACTGCTATTGCTCGACCTTTTCAAGTCAGTTTCAATTTCAACTATGCCAAAATTGAAAATATTAACATCTTTGAATTTTAATTTCGAATTTAGAAAGATTTGTTAAAGACTAAGATTAATTCATAATTTTAATAATAAAATTAATTGTGACAATATTAATTCATTAATTCGAATAAGTCAAAATACCAATAATTTTGAAACTTATTTACGAATTTTTCAAACAATTTGTATTATGCATTATTTTACGGAGAATGACACTTATGTCCCCAGGATCCTCTCTTCCCATAATTTAGATCGAACTTTGGCATCTATTCATATAGTTCTTTCCATGTCTAATTTATCAAATTATTAGGGCATAACATTAACGTAAGTTATGTTTTAGGAACTAAACATTAACCCGTTGACCCTACACTCGCTAATTATGAAGGTTCAGATTCAATTTCAACCGCCATCTACTAAATGAGGCATTTTTGGAAGTTCTAATTCACTGTCGGAGGGTTAGAGGTTGTCATAAACGTTCGATGTTGAGTTCCAGTATAAATCTTGTTTTTACGTTTCAAACAAATTGTTAAAAAGAAATTACTCAGTGAAAATTATGATTGCTCTACGATTCTTATATAAAATCATTTTTAGACGGCCATTGGTAAAAGCTATTCTTTCAGGGCATGAATAGCACGTTAAAAGTTCAATTCTTATTACCAGTGCCAAAAGTTAGACGAAGCTCAAGTTTTCACATAAATCTGAATGCAACAAAGGAAATGAAATACTTTAGTCTGACTGCATCAGCTACAACTGACTTTAATGCATTATTAGGAGTTTTGAGAAATGGAATTAAAATAAAATGAGTCGGTAAATCAGTCTAAAAATAGTGTACGGCATGGTAAAAGTGGTCTACAGAATTGGACCACTCGACCTATCTGCCTCGTGTCGCAACCTTTCCTGCTTGCAAAATACAGGGTCACTTTCACCACTCACATCATAAAAAGTTATTATATGGAGTGGTTTCGGGTTTGTACTAAATTCCTTGGGAACTACAACTGTCGTCGAAAGATTCTACATTCGCAAGTTTTATAGATACCACATTTCTTAAAAAACGTTGCGTCTTTTGGGGAAGTTTTCAGCCTTTTCTACTGTTCGCTTGTGAATTTATACTCTTAAGTGAAGCTTAACTAACTTTTTTAGGCCAATAATTATATATGAGGTTTGTCAGAATTGTTTTTCTAATTCCGATTTCTTCTTTTTCATCACCTGCTAATGCCAACTAGCGATCACGTGACAATTTCTAATCTCTCTCTTCTCCATTTCTTTGGATCACTTTGATCGGAGTTTGTTTTCTATCGTTTTCGTACTTTGTAATTCTTCAACTTTAACACATTGTTTCTAAAAATATCTCTGTTTCATCAAGCGCAAATTGGCGTGTCCTGCGCACTCTCGCAGTGAGCTTATTCACAGGCCACAGCAATGTCCCAGACGGATTTGCTTCGCTTTTTGAGGTAGGAATAGGCGAAACGTCATGTGCGATAGGGCTGCAAAACTATATGGGGAAAGTAAATGAACATTTCAAGATAATACTACATTTACAACTTACAGGCGTATTTAATTAATAAATTATTGACTGCAGATATTTTTTTCAAAACTATAGATCATGAAAATATAATTAATTTCTAATTAAATATTGATTTTTCTAAAATATTAATTACCTGTACTTAAAATATTTCACTTCCTGAACTTGCGGCATAAATACAAAATATTCTCGCTATTTCCGCCAGCCGAAGGTAAACTCTTCATATCCACTTATCCACACACTTTGAACTCGTCATTTAGAAGTTTAAACTTCGCGGCATATTTAATTTCGCATTTCACAGAAGACGCTCAGACGCTCGTTTTCTACGAACCGAGCACTTTTTACCCTTTATGTCGGGGCGCGCAAAAACTTCTCACATTGTGTTTACATCTAGCGAATTTTGTGTTAATTGCCGTCACGCTTGAGCGGGGGCTAGGTCGATTCAGCCTTTGCCTGAAAGATGATTCTAACGGCCGGCTGCTCTGATCGGTAGTTTTCGTGGTTTCTCCAATCAATACCAGGCGAATTCCGGAGCAGTACCGTAAGAAACGCACGATCTTTCCTTCATTTTCCTTGTCCTATTCTCGCTCTTACACTTGCATGCTCTTCACTACCGCACATGTCTGGACACCAGTCTGAAGCATAGAGCTCATCCCTGCTGGGGCGGTGCGAGAGAAACTTGGATGGTAAAAGCTCCTCAAGCGCACGTGTCAGGCGGCTCCGGATCTTACCTTTCAGCATGAACGAACTGTCCCACACACGATAAACTACACTTACGGGAATAATGACTAAATAATAAATTGAATGAAATCGTCTTGTGCAGGCCACTAAACAATACCATACGAAAGGAGTGAATGCAAGGCCCATGACTCAGATATCCAAACATATGAAGCAGGGATGCGCATGGCCACATTTGATATTGCAACGTGGTTCGTCTTGTACACGCAACAGGTCAGCTTGGAGGTCCAGCAGTCAATTTGTGCTAACTTTAGTTGCTCTGCACTGCCGCTACAGCTGACGACGTTACACAATGGATGTCGGAGGTCGCAGGGTCCTGGCCTGGTTGTTAGCGCCTTGAAGATTGAATACTCTTTACGGCTCTTATTTACCGGGTCATTTGTCAAGAGATCGAAAGAAAGAGCACGTACAAACGTTCAAACAAAAGACTCCATAAACGCTGTTGATTGCCGTGTTATATAAAAATTGACGTCATGAGGTCTCCGATAGTGTGTACTGCAGAAAATATTAAGAAAGCGATATTGATTTTTCATGTGAACAATATAAACATTAAAGATAATGAAAGTGTTGTATGTTCAATTTTGTTTGGCAGCCGACTTTACTATTGCTTTTCTACCGAAAGAATAAAGCTAAACGAGTCGGTAATTTTGACTTTGACGGAAAAGAAAAAAAACGTGGTAACACGTGAGATTATTGTATTTCAAAAACGCTGATCAGAGAGTTCAGGTAACTTTAGTTGAGTAAATGATGCATTTTCTTTGTAAATCCTTCTCAAATATTCTTTTACTCAAGTTACTCCAATTATTGCACTTCTTTAACTTAGAACTCTGGACGTTAAGCGGGAAAAATATGCCCTGATACTTATAGAGAACAATTTTCAAGGTAAGGAGGACGACATTAGTGATGCGACATGATAAAAAAAACATCGAAGTTATCCAACATGGGGCTTCAAAATTAGAACATCGAGATTAATAATAGCGAGCAAATCTAGCAAAAACTATCTATGCTTTTAAACATCGATATTTTAAAAGAGATTTAGAAACATTTAACTTTAAATGCGGGCGCAGCAAAATTCAATTTGAAATTTATTAATTTATAACGAAGATGTAACTGAAAACTAAATTGGAAAATAATAAAACAATGTACGCTTGATGAAGGTACTACAAACTACTATTTTATATATGGGTTCGTGCTCCAAAATAAGCTTATTTTATAGTTTAAACATTTCACCGTTTTAGTAGTGTTGTTGCAAAATGATCGGATCTGTAGCAATTGCAGAAGTAGCGGTGACCATCGCAATCTTTCTGCAACATTTTTGCATAAAACGTCAACTTTATTTCTTCCGCACTATTGATTCATGCGAGTACCAATATATCATTTTTGACAGGTTACCCCTAGTAAAGAATAAATAGAGGTGATTAAGGAACGTTTAATTACAGCCACCTAGTACTTACATTGGTGAGGGCTCCGAGGCCTTCGGGCCACGCGTCCTCCTGGTGCGGGTCCGTAGGGTAGATGTCGCTGGGCGTGCGGTCCCCATGCCGGAAGATCTGAAACACGCCATGCGGGTGGACGGGTGTCAGGCTGGCTATTCTCCTCTTACCGTAACATAAACATAGAACATGGTATCTCTCCTGGCAGTTCAACCGATAAGCCGTCTTAACTACGTTGACCCTGAACCTAAACCAAGGGCAATTTTAAGACGGGTAGAGTGGTGCAAAAGATAGAGAATGAGGGAATACTTTCTAATTTTAACATTACGGTAAAGGGTCATTACTTTAAACGTGAACTATTCTCCCATGATTCGTTCTGTCAAACTGTTTTTCGCCGGCGACTTGTTATTCACAGAAACAGAGTATCTGGACAAGTTGAAACGTGTGCCCCCATTTGTATCTCGTGACTGATGAATCTGGTCCTGTGCGAACTAGTACGGTGATACCCGTTTTACCAAGCGGTTTGGAGGATCTTGAGGTGAACACAGAGACTCTGCCGCTTTTTCATCCCACACTTTTAAGGGCAAAAGGTCTTTCTCACTGTCATCAGGATTGACTCATGAAGGAGACCTTTAATGTCTCTCCAACGCCTGAACATTTCGGTAGGTCGCTTCCCCGGCTGGAAACTTCCAGCTCTGAGGTTGGGAAGTGTCTAGTTGATTGAGTTCAATCGCTGCAGGGACACCCTCCTACTCAATTATTCCCTTCACTTCACTTCAATTCACTGCCAAAGCGAATCCTCGCTCAACTGGAGACAACCCGGGAAAACTGGAGATGAAATTGAGCGCCTGCCCTCCCACTGCGATCCCGCTCAATACCTACAACGTGTGTATCGCTGATTATCCCAAGAAAGCGGGTTAGGGTTTCAAAACTTTCACCAAAGCTATAACTGAGGTTGCAGCTCCCGCCAGATTGGGCAAAATCCAATCATCGCATTCGAACGTGCATAGTTTCATCCCTTCGACCGTGTGCTCAGTCCATCCATCAGGTCGCCATTCCCCTTTCCACGAGGCGCAGTGTAGTTAGGAATGTCAGTCCATAAAAGGGGCAATCTATGTTACTAATTTCTCTAATGCGCGCCGAAATTGAAAGACATCATGCGACAGCAAGGGTCCAAGGATAATGCCGTTCCCCATTTGTATTTGTTAATTGCCTGTTGCATTATGCAATAGACATATAAAAATATACTATGTTGTAGTTACATTCGTAAACAGTTTTCGTTGAAAATTTAATTTTCAGCAGTATTTATACTTGTATTGTTTTAGAAAACGTAGCTTTTTTGCTGCTGCAGGCCACTAGTAGTGTACTATTTCTGATGTGAAATGGAGAAAAAAAACCGCCGAAACGCTGCTCTTGAAAATGTGCAACTACGGAATATGTGTATGCATATCATAACGAATAGCGTTAGCAATTCACCCATAACATATTTAGAACCAGGTCAATATCGCGTTTCCGAATATTATTATATTACAGCATCTTATTATTCACTTGCTGCAATGAAAGTGCGCAGAAAATTCCAAATTTTGTTAATGAAATCAACATTCTGTCAATCCTCACATGTCCATATTCTCTTTTTCCAAACACAAAATCTTTTTTAATCTCGTGTACTCATAAACTTCTCTACAAATATCACCAGAAAGCTCATGAAAAATACTTCAACTCTGCAGAAACGGTTTCAACACGAAGTGCCTTTTTTGTATTCAAAGTCTCTTTCTCCGTCTTCACTGCTTTTTGTCAATCGACTAGTTGGCAGTCACTTGTTGCCATTCGGAAGGCCATAAATTAATTTAATGCCTTCATCTGCGACATGCTTGTGCAACGAACATTAATTCGTCCATAATTGTTATACATGAGCCACAGAGTTCCTTGCAATCTACTCACTACATAGAGAATATCTTGTTTAAAATATGTTTGAAAATTATTAAGTATAGATCTACAAGATCAGTGTTAATACTGAAAGGAAAATAGGTGTCCAAATATTTCGTACCAAAGCCACGAAGCGATGTATTACAGAACTTATTCTATTTTCTACGTAAATAGCAGAGATAAAAAATGGAAATTGCAGAAGACAGTATTTTCATTTCTATTTTTTTAAAAATATTTTAAGGATGGCAGATAACGAAAAATTGAAGTAACAAAATCCGTTTGTATACCCCATGTTTTCTAGTTTCGTGCGGTTACGCAGTACAATAATAAAATGCAGTAATATCGATCTACAATTAAAATTAAGTAACGGTTGTAATTAGGATGTCGTTAATACTCTAAGAGTTCCTTTAAGTTTCAGTGCTAGTGCAGACATTTTCTTGACATAAAATTCGTACTGTATTTTTAATATTACCAAATATTTTTCAGTTTTCTTTTTCCGCGTTTAGTAATCGCGTGGAAATGTATTTGAGATGATTTAAATATTATTTTCTTTTACGTTGGTGAATCAAATTACAACCTATAAAGAAGGACAAAAATTCAAAATGGGGTGTGATCAATTTAAAAGTTGGATACAAAGACATTAGTAATTCAATCAATGCTCTGCATATCGTTGTATGGCTCAAGAATGCGACATTTAGAAGCAGTGATTATGTATGGTTGCGGTTTTGGCGTCAAGCACCACAATAGATCAGAAATATGCGAGTGTTTTGAGAAGCGAAGTTATTAAATCCATTGAATTATTTTCTAGAAAACAATACTCTACGACGATTTATTTCTTACCCGCAGCTAATTGACACGAGGAGTAGAATGTTTAAAAAGTCAATGTCTTGCAGACATTGCCCAGACATGCCCGGGCCAAGCACCCAACCTAACATCAGCGGGAAAAAAACTGAATTCTCTTCGGGCAAAAAAGAAATTATTTTGGAAACCCACCTATATAAGATTGATCGGTACAAAGTAAACAACTTCTGAATCACATATACCCCCTAAAAAGGAATAAACGAGGATGACGTTTGAGTTCAGGGATTTTGCTGCTTCCCTACAATACCTATCCATAGAACTTGAAAGCGCATTCACTCCTTAGTTGAGGTGATTTTCGTGACTTCAAACCGCCAAAAAGGCGATAGGATGTAAGCGTTTACGATCCGATGAAGAGATGGAAACCGCGGTGCACGAGAGTCTAAAGTTGAAATCTTTAAGAGGCATCCGTCACCCCCAAAGTAATGGAATACTTCTAATGCATATCATTGAACTATGATAAAAACATTTGTCATTTATATATATTGTTGTGCATTAAAGATAGGAATATAAAATCCAGATAAAAATTATTAGAATTTTATTTGATTCACCTTCGTTTATTTTCTAAGAAGGCAGAGTTAATGACAACAAACAATTCCCGTAGTGTGCGTGAATCGCGTATGCACATCATAGCCTTGAAGGTGAGGGAGTTGAAATACCGTGTTTAATGGCAGACGTTATCTTTGGAAAACACATTCAGACTTGATGCTATCTTCCTTTTGCAGTGTGTCGTCTGACCCACAACGAGTGAAATCGATTGAATTATTTTCCATTTTTGTTCTTGCGAACAATCTACTCCCAGGATCATATTTGTAGATCATTGTTGTCTATGCCCATTATCAACTAGCGTAAAAATTGGCAATTGTTTGCAACAATATTTCTCGACCTTCAGTTTTCTTCTACCGTATACTTTCCAGTCATTTAGTTTCCCCATACAGAAATTTGATCAAATATTCTAAAATCTAAATGGAGTTACAGTGAAACCTAAATTTATCGCTTGCATTATCAGAATTCTATTTGTCGACCATCATCTCTACTGATTTTTTTAAAATTCTTGATTACAATTTCATTTCTAACGATGTGTGTAATCAAAACTCCCAATATTTCATACTTTTAGTTTCATGAACTTCATCTTTATATAAAGGCCAAATGCCACAATTTTACTGGAGGTCGTGACGCCCCTAGAAAACGTACAAAGGTGATTGAGGGCTCATTTGACCCGATCCCTCTAGCTTTTAATCTTTATATCCCAATCCCCTACGACCTCCCCGACATTTTTTTAATGTATGGACAATGTTGAGTTTGATTAATTTTTTCACAAAATGTCCACATTGGTGGGATTTTTTAACTTTCAGTGTTGTTAACACTTAGTTCGTGTTGAAATACATCTCGGTGGTGAGCAATTCATTGAGCAGAGGCTCAATCAATATTCCCGGAAACGTAAACGCCCATTCCCTAACGAATAGAGCATTCTGCATGTACTAGGCGCATTTTCGGTATATCTTCCTTGAAGCCTTTAATTACACCGCGTTTGCTAATAGAAACATTTTATCTTCTTTAAATACATCCTCTCTGTGTGGTTTCACTACAAAATATACAACATACAAAGGTATCTAAATTGAGTTCCATATGAAAAGTGTTAGTAATTTACTTATATCGCTGAAAGGTCGATGACAGCCAATTCTTAGTTATTTCAAGGTGGCTCAAAATCAATGCCAAGTCATTCCCACGCTATTCCCATATGAACGATCGCTTATACGCCAAAGATTCGTGCAGTTTTCCTTAAATAGTCAGATTGGAAACGCTAGGTGGCCTAGAGAGATGAAAACAAACAGATTGTCTTGTCTGACATTTTGGGTAAGACAAATTAACTAGTTAATTCCTTGAATTGGTTTAGAATTAGAGTCATATATTTGGCATGTGATTTATTTATAACAAGTAAAGACTCGGGGATATTAAGCTTCACAAGTACTATTGAAAAAAAAAACTTGAATATTTTTGAAAAATCTTGTTTAAGTAGCAAATATTACATATCTAATATATTGTAGAGCATGATCATGGAATTGCGTCAACAAGAACATCTGAAAACATTGATTTAATTCACACTTTCTCAATGAACACCAAGAAGTACATTTAGCGGTCAACACGTATGATAATTATAGCATTCAAATATATTTTAATATATTTTATCGTAACATACTAAGAATAACTGATCACTAAGAAACGCTGGAAACTTTGTGTAGATCGGCCTACGGCTTTATATAACGTAATAGGGTAATGCAGGTATGGCCCAGGTATGCTTCTGAGAAGGGGCGCCTTCGGCATTCCACTTTTGTGCAGTAAATATTGTTGATATTGTTTAACTACTGAAATGAATATAATAATTATTAAAAAAATTGAAAAATCAGTAATTTTTTATAATACATCTTTAATATATTCGATAATTTATAATCAACTTTTTGTTATACTAGTGTCCTGCAGTAGCAAAAATGCTTCTGAACAAAACACAAAATAGTTTTCTAAAAAGTAGCACGCACCCTGCTCAAAAACAATAAATAAAATACTCTCGTACAACATTTCAATGAATTAAATATTTCAATGAAAATAGTTTTCACGAATACAGCTATATCATATTTCAGAATATATGCAGAACGTTTCTTTACATATCAAGTACATAAAAAGAGTTGTTGTATAACGCAACACGTAAATATCAAATATTGATTGCCGGGCGGCATCTTCCTTGGAGCTTTGCTGTTGCACATCAGCTGTGTTGTAGAAAGCAAAACATCGAGTTTGAGAATTCAGTCGGTACGCACAGTATGAGAATAGGCGGAAAAACGCAATCAAATATTTGCATTTTTTATTCATCGAAAATGTTTTGGGTACCTCAAACACCTACCTCTTGGCCGAAGGCTGCGTAGTTTACTTCCAATTTCTCACCGTTTTCGACATTAGTAATATAGAGGTTATTAGATAACCTCAGTTTCTGAGCATCTAACAACCTTACGTGGCTAGAGTGTACATAGGTTTCCGTCAATTTCTGGGCGCATTGGAAATCTCGTGTAGTAGAGTGCACGTCATTTTTATGAATGTTTATTTCAACATGTGCAGCAGCGAATAACATATTGCTTCTGAAGAATATTTGGTTTGCATAGTAGTAACTATATTTGAAATGACATTGCAATGTATTAAATTCACTTTTGTCAGATAATAACTTCACAATTTAGTCCGCCATGTGCGCAAAGCTACACATTTTACCTACTATATAAGATACTCGTTACGCGCCACATATCGTGGCTTGGTAGTTCTGTCGTCGCGCCGAGCACCACGCGTGCTAACTGATAAACGCAGAGTTGCCGCCGCGTCGACGCCATCGCCCCGTTGCCACACGCTCGCGAGGTGAGAGAGCGCGCGCGCAGGTGCGCGACCTGCCGCTGCGGAGCTGCAGTCGGGCACGCGGACCGACGCCTCCACGCGTGGCCTGTCACCCGCTACCTGCTGCACTAGGCGCCTCGGTCGCCTGCTGTCGTTACGCCTCGGTGCACGCGAGAGTCGGGTGGGGATGCGGCGTCGAGGTCGGGGTGTTAAAAAAAAAAAAAAAAAAAAAAAAAAAAAAAAAAAAAAAAAAAAATCGACGGTTTAAACGATTCGCTAAGTAATTTTATTTTTTACTGATACGTTAGTGTCTTATTGCCTTCTATACGGAGTCTATCTACACATCATAATTTGCCTGGATCAAAAGGATCGTGATTACGAGGGAAATTGGAAAACGGTTGAATGATACTTCATGTTCACACATGGAGAAAATTAGGAAAGGTAATTATGGGGGGGTGGGGTGGGGGTGAAAACACAAACCGAGTCAAGTTAACTAGTTAATTAGTAAATATGAATTAAATTTAGGTAAAAAATAAGATCATGTATGTACTACGGCCGTCAACTGCTTCTCACGATCGAGCCCGGCAAAAAGCCCTCGGGTCACAGGCTTTCGGGTTTTTGTCGCCACTCTATCATTAGATGCCCCTTATGACGCCCTCGGTGCAATGAACAACTAGTTTCAACATCATATTTTGTCCTCGAGTGTTTTGACGATGTCATTTTTGATGACGATGACAAAGTTCAAATCATAATTTTGTGAAAGTATTGTAATGTAATATACTATACTATATAATATAATATACTATACTGTGTAATATAATATTGTAATATAATATTGTAATAATAATAATAATAATAATAATAATAATAATAATAATAATAATAATAATAATAAGAAAATTACTTTCGAGCAGAATATATCTCCGGCGAGAGATGACACCGACGCACAGGTATTTCCTACGCCTTTTCTCGCTTTTTACATTCTGTGAAGCGGAAAATTCGTAAGCCGTAGTCATTAGGCCTCCCCTTTCCATCATCTCTTTGCAGCGAACATAGGCAGATGTGACTTCTTAAGGTGATCTACAGCGCTCAGGTTTTATCGCCGTTTTTAATTGTTCTTCATTTTTTGCTTTGCTTTGCCAGTTAACTCAAATATAAATTTATAAATACAACCAAATTTTGTGTAATTTCCCCACGAGCAAGTATTAATATTAGAAGTTCAAAAACACCGATTTGCAAACCATCAATGTATTTGGGACAGTACATTATTAAAATCGACGTTTTAATTTTGGACATTGATATTTTGCAACATCAGTGTTTTGTTGTCATTGTTGTTCCCCAACGACGATCTCGCCACAGGTTTCAGAGACAACGGCACAAAAGTGATCGGGAAGGAGTGGAGATAGATTTTCTATATTTTCACATCAAAAGATGTGGTTTAAATCCTAATTTTACTGCTAAAGTAACAGTTTGCAATACTGTGATTAGGCGTGCGAAAATATTAAGAAAGTGCTTTCCCGCGCGCTTAAAAATGTTAATTTATTCCCAATTTCACCATTTCAATGATACACGGATCTTGACAGTATCCACCTTATCATTCTCATTAATTTTATGACCTACAACAAATATTTCAGTGAGTTTTTTTTGATATCGTAGTATAAAACAATCTCCTCTATAGTCTATTTTAATACGCGAAGTTGATTTTGTACTTTAATAAGAAGTCATCCACACAAAACTCCGTGAGCTTGCTAAGTTGACTAAGGGAATTGTCAACCTTCATTAGCCAGAATAAATACCTTATGCTTACCTGTTTTAGATGAAATAAATGCGTAAAGCTTCCGGGTTCTAGTTATAAATTATAGACGACGTGTCTAGTAGAGTGATTGCTGCCATACTCTTAGTTAACTTTGGGTGGCAGGGGAAAGCTAACAGTGTGCATGCGCGATCATACTACCAATCCTAATCAAGTGTCAACCACTTTTGGCTACTTCACAGATATATAAAATCCTACACTTTTTGGACTAATTTATGTTTTACGACCTACGAAGTCTTAGTTTTATAAAATAAAAATAAAATAATAGGTTTTCAAAAAAAGTAAAAAAAAATCACATAAATTTTAGGTGAAATTAAAATGTTTAAAATGTTTACCTTAAGTGAATTTTAAATAAATACTTAATTTTTCTATATTTAATATCTATTTTGAAATTTGAATGACAGTTTTTAATATTTTCCCAGGTTATAGTTCTAGTGTCTCTAAGAAATATCAATCCGGTCTTTTCATTCAAGGAATTAAATATTCCACATTTGAAAATAATTAAAGTTCCGTAACATTAGCTGTAACATGTAATTCCTGAGCTTAAGGTAAAAATTTGCCTATACGTAGTAGATGTAGAAGTTAAACAATTTATCCATTCCATTAAATGAAATATATTCATATTGAAAGGCTAGTGTGACTTTTCGGCAACTAGATCGCTCGTCCGGCTTTCGCCATGCTTCAGCTCGTACCTTGTACGCCTTGTACATCGGCTGGCGCTTTGTCAGCGGCCGTATGCCGTAGTCGCGTGCCCGCCCCCTTGTCCCGGGACGGCCTGGGCGCCCCCAGAGGGCGTCGGGCTTCCACATTAGGCAATCAAATCACAATATCTTTTTAAGGGTTGTAAATGTCCATGCTCTCCTCCGATGCACTCTTTTAGGTCTTGACAATTCATAAAAAAATATTTCATGTTTTTCAAAATTATAAAGTGTGAAGTATTCTGTCATTCTTTAATTAACACACGGGATAATTTTATTATGTAAATGCTGGACCAAAACCTATTCTCTCTAGGTTAAAATTCGCCGCGGTCTTTTCTATGTTGCAATGCTGAGTAACTGCGAAGAATGGAAGGTAAGATGTGTCAATCTGAGTCCCGTTTAAACATGCCAAGTGATCCTCCGTAAACACCGCAAGTCTAGGAAATCTTTGTGTAAAGTTTTCCACTACTCAATGAGATAAAATATCATTTTGAAAGATCATTGGTAAGTTAACGAAAGTGTGTGAAATGTATCTGTAGGTCCGTGATGCAAGTAAGTAGATCAATAAAATCTGAAGGATCGAGAACGTAAATTTACTTTTTCGAATTATTTTGATAGTTTTTCATACTTTACATAATGCGCTCGCTTACTTGTATTTTGCCTGACAAACTTGTCACGACCATAAAGTCACTATCACTTTCGTCAACATTTTACACTTAAACTGACTATAACCAATTCTTTTATTGTTCATTATATTTTTCTTCATTTTGGTCTCTTTACTCCCTTTGTCGATCTTGCTTGGTTATCGTGCACTTTTATCTAGGTTTCTTAATCCTAAATACACAAATGGGCAGGTGAAGAGAGATATCACGACTCTCAAGCAGCGCGTTAATCCTTTAAACACATATGGTAAAAAACTACACACTGTTACAATGGGGTAGTGGCTTGGGCGTGCGCACAGGCGTGGGGAGGGGACAGAATGGCCATAGTCTCCTGAAAAATTTTGAAATTTTTAAAAGGGATAGCCATGGGTAGTAAACCATTTTATTTTCCTAAATATGTTATATCCCTGATTTTATTCTTTTTAAACCAGAACATTTGTGGTATTGTTATACTACACATAATTTCACATTTATTCTGTGAATAATTCCCTTCTCTTTGTAGTGTGTTTTACGTATTGACAAATACATTATGTCATGTGTAGATAAACTAGATTAATGGAAAAACGGCCCAGAAGAATGGTTGACCTCCTTGTTTGAGGCTGTGCACGCCTATCGGTAGGGGGAACGTAATTGTTACTTCGAATCTCTTCATTACAACCTTAAAGTTATCCTGGGTGTTATTATAAGAATTGAATTAGAAAATTCATATTCTGTACATGAAGAACGATCGTATATTACATTTCTATGCATTGAGTTGTCACAAACATTTTTTACGAAAACAAATTATACCAAAATACGGAGAAAAGCAACATTAATTTTTGTGTATACAACTTTAATCGCTCGATGGTAGGCACTCTACTTAAAATTCTCGATTGAATAATGCAACTCCAACGCGTCGAAATTTCTATCCGAATTTAAAAAACAGAAATCAATAATAAAAAGGGGAAGTGACAACCATGCATTGTATTACACTTCAAATGTTTTATCAAGTGCATCAGCTTGTTTAAAATTTCGTTTCCGTAACTGAAGGGTATCAAGATTTGTTTTCAAGTGAGCCATATCCACCTCCCATTTACGTGCCAGCATGTTAACGCCTTGTTTATCATGTGATCTGTATACTGGCCATACCTCACTATAGTGGAGACCATTTATTTAGGCGGATCCCTTTCCCTCAATGCTCACTGTACTCCATTGCCACGACCGCATATTCCCATTGCAATACACACACGTAAATATTATGAGGTTGCTTCTATTGCGTGGAAAAGGTGAGAAGACTGGCGACGTGTGGCGGGAGTGGTGACAAAACCTCGAAACTCACCTTGAGCCGCCCATATTGTCGGTGATACCTCCGTAAACAAGCCAGGAAGTTTTACTACTCACCACACTGACAAGCAGCAGGTTGTCATCGGGGTCTGCGTCCTTTCCGAAGGCGAGAAACGCCAGCAGCACCAGGGCGATCAGCGCGCCGAGCACCCCGACCGTCACCACGGTGCAACGCCGGCGCCGGAGGCACCTCATCGCGGACGGTGACGTCGCGACGGGCGGCGTCGGTGTCGACCCGTAGCCAACGCCGCCGCCGCCGCCGCCGCCGCCGCCGTTTCCGTCCGCGTCGGCAGGCATGTTCGCGGGTTCCGGTGCGGGCGCTACGCGCGGCTTGTCCGCGGGCTCCTGCCAGCTGTACGTCGGCTGGCCCCCCTCCTGGCTGCCGACGTACCCCCACTCCCCGCCGCCGGCGTCCGCCGACATCGCGATGCGCGCTTGTTGCGCCGTCTGCCGCCCGGCCCCGCCACGCCCCTCCCCCGCGGTGCTGCCGTGCCTCGCTGGAGAATCTCGCGTTTACATCACGCCGCACGCGAGCTGGTCGACGGACAACAGTTGGGATCGACCTGCGCCTCTATTAACTGCTTTTCTACTCTTCCTCAACGGCGCTGGTTTTACGATCGGCACTCACGGGATCCTGCGAGAACACGCCCACGCGTCCTAGTTTCACATCACCACACACACACACACACACACACACACACACACACACACACACAATCAGATGGTCGTGCTACACAGAAACTAAGTGCAGTTCATCGACTTGTGGTGTGTGTCTGAGCGCTCTATCGATAGCGTTTGTTTTCCGTCCGTCGGGAACGTGCCGGCGGAGCTCACGAACAACCACAATGGCGCGTCCTCGCGACACGTCACACGACACAACACACCTGCGTGTTTACGCCTCCTCTAAGGTTGACAGGTCCGCAGCACTAATCAGAGGTGTTCCCGCGACGTTCGACGCGAGAGCTCAGCCTCGCGGTGCGGTGTGCGCATGCGCGTTGCGGCGAGGAGGGACGTCGCGGTTTCAATCACGTCGCAGACTCGGGTGAGAGCGGGAGACGAGAGTGTCCGCTCCGCGCGTGAGCGCTTTCTCGACTGCTGCGCGCCGTTCCGCCCCGCCCCGCGGTGACCCCGTCGCGGCTCCGCGTGGGCCACGCGGCCCTGACGCGAACTTTGCTCTCTCTCCTCCTCCCCCCCCCCCACTCGCGGCACTGATTCTCTGAGGCGGAAAAGACGAATTCGCGCGCTGGCCAGACTCGGACGGTGGTCTTTTGAGTCGGAGATTACAGAGTATTCTGCAACGGTGGGTGACATTTAGACTGGTCTGTATTACGTAGCACCAATTACGTCTTCAGTCGATGACAGATTCAGTGGAAGGAGGGTGTACGGGTCATGCTTCCTCCAAACCAAACATTTTTTTTTATAATTTTAATAAATTTATTCAAAATAACTTTCCCATACTGAACATATTCTAGAGGGGCATTCGCATTGTAAGCGATTGTGATTTTTGTTTGAAGCTAAGATTTTTTTATTTGAAAAATAGTTAATGACGAAGAATAACAATGAGCTGTGAAAGTCTGACGACGGTCTACAATGGGTCGAACAAAAATATAATAAATATGCGAAAAAATACAGGAACAATATTGGAAACATTTAAATAATAGGGAAAAAATTCAATTTTACAATTGAAGGGTTGCTAAAAAAAACAGCATAAGTCCAAATATGCAAAAATGAATTTAATGATGCCACCTTGTAAGGCGAACTTAATGCATCAGAGGATCATATCGACTCGGCCTAAATTGCATGAGTCCTAAAGGAAAAGAACGAAGAAAAATCGGTGAGCTAGAAAGATGAGTTACAAATGTGGACGGGTTTTTCTCACATCCCACAAATTGGATTTTTGAGGTAATGCTGTATTTTGGAGAAGTCCTTCAATTGTCTTCATAGCGAAGATTAACGAGGTGGAGAAGTGTGAAGCAGATATATTTTTCAAGAGCTACTGATGAATTAGAAGAGTCTGAATAACATTTAAATAATATATTTTTACCTTTTCTTAAATTACAATTGGTATCCAATTGCTGCTAGGCTGGAAAGGAAATATAATAGCGTGAACTTGGACAACTTGCGGTGAAGTCGATTGAGGAGTTGAGATCATTTTACATCTTTGCTCATAATTTTGAGGTGAGGGCAGATAATGTTTAGCCATTTCAAATTAATTGCGGTAGGAAGATGCATTGATATTTATAATTGGTATCCTATTTTTTAAGTACTGATTTCTCGCGTCATAGTGGTGTTGATAGATATCATCGCATGTATCGAGCCTCCATTGAAATCTCTTGCATATTTTCGAATGCTTAAATAATATTTTTCTAAAAATTCCCTTATCTAATACTTCCAGAGAAATATCATTTCCAATTTTTTTGAAAGTATTTAAGGAATGCAATAGAAGGACAAAAACTTGTCTATTTTAATACATTTATTTCTTGTGTAACACTATGAAATTGTTCGTTGCATTTTTTGTTGATAAGATTATGAGAGCTTTCTTGTAACTTCAATTTATAACTTGCGCTTGAGAGCCCCATACGGCTTTTTCTCATTTCCCACAAATTGGATTTTTGGGCTAATGCTGTATTTTGGAGAAGTCCTTCAATTGTCTTCATAGTGAAGATTAACGAGCTGGAGAGGTGTGAAGCAGATATATTTTTCAAGAGCTACTGATGAATTAGAAGAGTCTTAAAATAATATATTTTTACCGCTACCTGCTTGAGTTGAGCCACCACTAATTACTACACTACAGGATAACGCTTTGTTAAAAAGGCTTCAAAGAGATAATTCAAAACTGTACTTGTACGCAAAAACCAGATTTTTCGAAGCTCTCCCCATTGAAACAGCTCGTAACTTTTACAGCTCCCACCCCATAAAATGAATGCTCCATTTCAATTCGTACATCAGTGGGTCCGAACGTACACAATTCCGAGTATAACAGATGTAGGAATACACACACATACACATCTTTGAGCTTTAAAAAAT